TAAATTTTTATGCTTCCTCCTCAAATATAATTCATTTTTTAAAATTTGTTGATTTTCCTTTATGTGTGTATATCACAAAAAACATTCCAAACCATCTTATTCAACTATACACCCACTTCCCAGATGGCACCCTCCCTTAGCCTCCCTCCCCCCACTAGAGCCCTTATACTCTGTTATCCCTGCTACTGTCTGCTGTGTTGTCATAAGCTGGGCTTGGTGGCACACACCTTTAATCCCAGCACTTGGAGGCCGAGGTAGGCAGATCTCTTTGAGTTCGAAGCCAGCCTGGACTACATAGCAAGTTCCAGACCAGCCAGAGTTACACAGAAAGACCCTGTCCTAAACAAAACAAAACAAACAACAAATAAAATAGGTAGATAGCTCTGTAAAGTGTTCACTTCTTTTAGTTTTTATGATGGGCCTGAATTCATAAAATGACTTAAGCCCTTGATACTACTTACATAGCACTTTTTTGAAGGTGACTTTTAAAAAATTTATTTTTATTTTAAGTGTATGAGTGTATCGCCTGTATGTATGTAAGTGCGTTCGTGTTGTGCAATGCCCTCAGAGATCAGGGTCGCTTCTGCATTCGCTCTATGCAGGCCCATCCCTCACTGCAGTGGGACCCATGCTGCCTACTTCCTGACTCACTGTGTGTTCCAGTCAACTCTGAAGTTTTGTAAGGTCTCAGTCTGCCTTTGTAACATTATTATATTGGGAATCTGGTCTGTTCTTTTTTTAAAAAAAATTCAAACGTATTTAAAATATTTTATTTGTTTTATTTTATGTGTATGCATGTATTACCTACATGTAAGTGCACCCATGTCATGCAGTGTCCACAGAGATCAGAAGAGGGCATCAGATTCCCTGAAACTAGAGTTATAGCTGCCATGTGGGTGCTGGGAATTGAACCTGGGTCCTTTGCAAGAGCAGTCAGTGCTCTTAACCCCTGAGCCATCTTCCCAGCCTTTCTGGTCTATTGTTTAGCATAGCCGTGCTATTCACTGTAAGGTTGGCAAGGAGAAAAGATAGACAGGGACAGGTGACTCAATTGACCGTACAGGCTTTATTCTGGAAAACATCTGTGGAGGGGTCTCTAGTGTAGGAGCCAGAGAGTGTTGTTGGCACACAGGCTGGGGTAGTTACAGGGCAGAAGAAGGGGATGAGAAGGAGACTGAAACTTTCCCTTTTTTGGACTGCGGTCAGCAGTCGTTGGGGTACTTAGGAATATAGGGTGTATGATGGGTTAAAGAATTTCAGACAAGCTGGGTGTGGTGGCACACACCTTTAATCCTAGCACTCTAGAGGCAGAGACAGGTGGATTTCTGAGTTCAAGGCCATCATGGTCTACATAGAGAGTCCCAGGCCATCAGGACTAAACAGTTAGACCCTGTTTCAAAATAAAAAATTTAATTAGGGGGCTGGGGAGGTGGCTCAGCTGTTAAGAGTACTGACTCCTCTTGCAGAGGACCCAGGTTCGATTCTCAGCACCCACATGGTGACTAACAGCCATCTGTAACTCCAGTTCCAGGGGAATTCGATGCCTTCTTCTGACCTCCGGGTGCAGTATATGAGATGGGTGCACTTACACACATGTTGGCAATCAAGGCACCCATATCCATAAAATAAAAATAATGAATAAAATATTTTTTGAAAATGTCAGACAACCAATTAACATCTTTTGTGGCCAGCCGTTGCTTGCTGTCAGTGGGGCAGAGGACACAAGAATTGAGGAAAACAAGCTACTTAGTTTTAGAAATTGTCATTGCTTAACCAAAATGGAGGAACTTCGCAAAACGGTGTGACAGTGGCTAACGCTGATGATTGTGCAGACCACATTCGCATCCTCCATACCCTTCATTTTTCCATTGGGAAGAGCTCTTGTTCTTTTAATTGGTCACAACATTCTTTCGTTCCTTTGCTTTGGGGGAGTTGTCTTGCAAACACTTACTGGTTGGTGACCACTCGAGACTGCTGTCTCCTTCTTTAAAGTTGTCAACCTACATGCGTCTTTATTTTCATATTGGGCTTAATAATTGGTGCAGAGGAAGCTGCTCTCAGAATTATTTTTTTAATTCATTTAATTTTTAATTATACGTATATGTGTGTCTGTATGCAGGTATGTGCACATGTGAGTGCAGTGCCCTCAGAAGCCAGGGGAGAGCGTTAGAGCCCCCTGGAACTGGAGTTACAGGTGGTGCAAGGTGTCGCGTGGGTGCTGGGAACTGAACTTGGGTCCTTTGCAAGAGCACCAAGTGCTCTTAACTTCTGAGCCGTCTCTCCAGCTTCTGCTTTCAGAATTCAGTATCAGTTTTTCCAACACACAACCATAACATCACCATTTATAATCATAAGTAAAATTCCACAGAACTTTTGTGGTAGAGATGTCATGCAAGGCTAGATCTTTTCATGTTTTTTGTTAGCTGTGTCAAGGTCCTTTAAAAACTGGATGGGAACTGGAGAGATGAAAACACTGTAAAATTGGCTCTAGCTGTGGCTGCGCAGCTCTGGATACCTTAAAAACCATCGAATTGCACACTTTAAATCAGTGAACGTATAGTGTGTGAATGAGACCTGAATAAAACTGTTGAAAAAGTAAATGGAAATACAAGACAAAATTAGACCATTTAAATGAAAAAGAACTCATTTATTTATAGGGAAGCACGACACAGACCCAGTAAACTGACAAGTACATTTGATTGAGAATAAGAATGGCAGGCTGGAGACATGACTCTGGTTGAAAACACTTGTTGCTCTTGCAAAGGGCAGGGTTTGCTTCCCAGCATACACACCAGGCAGCTCACAACTGCCTCTGCTCCAGCTCCAGGCATCCAGACGCTCTCATCTGGCCTCTGCAGGTGCCTGCACACACGTGGTGCACAGACAGACAATCAGGCATGCACACATTCACATAAATAAAAAAAATATAAGAATAAGAAAGAAAATAAAATAATGAAGATGCTGCTGTTCCTTACAGGAAGGACCCATGGTACCAAATATTCCACCCCAGGAAGCTAGCAACAGGCTGCAGATATTCCAGGTAAAGCCACTTCCTTTTGTTACACTGACAATGCACTATTTTAAAATATGACTTTAGAGGAAAATTGATGTATTATTAGTAGAAAAGTTAATGTTTAAAACACATGCAAATTTTGGTTTTAATCTGTGTGTGCACATATGTATGTGGCTACATGTGCATGGGTACATGTGCATGTGTTTACACATGCATGTGGAAGCCAGATGACAACCTTGGTCTTGTTCCTTTTCTGTGGGGGGAGAGGGAGGGTTTCTTATTGGCCAGGAGCTCACCAAGTAGGTTAGGCTGGCTGATCACCAAGCCCCAGGCTCTGCCTGTCTCCGGTGCCCTAGTGCTGGGTTTAGAAACTCAGGCTGCTATAGCCAGCTTTGCATTGTGATCTACATGATGCAGTTTGTCTCTTCTTTTCCTCCCTCTAGACTTTTCCAAGAATCTCTCAGTATTTTTAGAGAATAAGACCTTGAGTGGGAACTTAAGTGAAATCTTATTCTAGCTCCTAAGCATCTCTTTTGATATATAAAGTGGAAAAAAAATTACAGCATAAAAACTTTTATCAGTGTAAGATTCTAAATATCGGCGAATGGTTTTCCTGCTTTCTTTTGGTACCTAGCTTTAGTCTTCTTTTTCTATCACTGTAAAAATTCCCTGATTCAGACTGTATAATACTCGTTGGGTCAGATTAACCATTCACTATCTTCTTGTCTTTTTGATTGTGAGCCTGAACCTTTAATGGCTGCACCAGCTCTCCAGCACAGCTCTCTTTTTTTCTAGACTCAGATTACTGAGCACATCCGTTTGGATGAATGGCTTGTAAAATTGGATTCCTCAATAAATTAGCCTTCCAGGCACTCTAAGCATTTCTATTCTATTCCTGTCCTTTCTAAAACAATATATTTTATTTTATTGTACACATTTTACCCACATTTATGTAAGTGTACCCAGGCGGTGCAATGCCCACAGAGGTCAGAAGAAGGCAATGGCTCCCCTAGAAACGGAATTACGCATGGTTTTCAGCTGCCATGTGGGTGCTGGGAATTGAACCTGGGTCCCCTGCAAGAGCAGCCAGTACTCTTAGCTGAAGAGCCATCTCTTCAGGCCTATTCAATCTTATCTTCCCAGTGCCACATGCGTTCTCAGTAACTAAAAAAAAAAAAAGGGGGTGGCTAGAGAGATAACTCAGCTCTTAAGAGCACTGACTGTTTTTGCAGAGGACCTAGATTCAGTTCCCAGCACTCACATGGCAGCTAACAACCATCTGTAACTCCAGTTCCAGGGGAATCTGACACCCTCTTATGGCCTCTGTGGGCACTGCATGCACATTGTACACACACACACAGAGTCGTGCACATAAAATAAAAATAAGTAAATATAAAAGTTTATCAGATACCTACCATGTAGCTTTGTCAACAGAAATTCAATTATGACATGGTTCTTACTGCTAAGCTGCTAAAATTTGAGGGGAACACAGTAAGTTAGAGGACATGAGTCCAAAGTCACATGACAAGCACTTTGACTTAGTCATGGAAATAGATGTCAGGGTCTACCAGGCTAGATGGAGGCTACTGGAGTAGGCAGAGAAGGCTCCCTGGAAGAACTGGCCTCTAACCTGCACTGAGGAGGACTAATTAGAGTTAGGCAGGGAAAGGAGGAAAAGCAAGTGAGGAGAATTTACAGTTTGTGCACAGGCATAGCAGTGAGAGGCCAGAAGGGACCCTTAGGGAGATGCTGACAGGTAACTGTCATGGAGGGTAGTTGTCTATTGTGTTCATGTTTTGCACCCAGTTCTTATTCTAGCGTTCCAAATACAGGGTATTCATATTCTAATTAAAAAGAAAAATGGGTGCTGGAGAGATGTTTCAGTGGTTAAGAGCACTTGCTGCTCTTGCAGAGGACCCGAGTTCAGTTCCCAGCACTCATACTGGGTGGCTAACAGCCTCATGTAACTACAGCTCCAGGGGATCTGATGCCTTCTTTTGGTCTTGTTCTTATTCTAGCGTTCCAAATACAGGGTATTCATATTCTAATTAAAAAGAAAAATGGGTGCTGGAGAGATGTTTCAGTGGTTAAGAGCACTTGCTGCTCTTGCAGAGGACCCGAGTTCAGTTCCCAGCACTCATACTGGGTGGCTAACAACCTCATGTAACTACAGCTCCAGGGGATCTGACGCCTTCTTTTGGTCTTTACAGGTGAACACACACACACACACACACACACACACACACACACACACAAATACATAATTAAAAATAAAATAAATTCTTCAAAAAAGAGAAGAGTCATGTGTTTTAAGTTTGGTGTTGCAATGGAATCTTTCATTTCCTACACTCTGTATTGTGTATAGAGAGAACAGTTTGGCACTATGAATTTTTTACTTATTTTTGAGCCCCATGAAAGAGAGAGAGAGATGGTCAAGTTCAAATGAGTAAAAAGACCAGGATTACAGATTTTTAAAATACAATTTTATTGCTTTCAAATGTGCAGATAGAGATTTGAAATATAGGATTTCTGGAAACCACTTGATTTATTGAAGAATTCATTTTATATAAAATGCATGCTTTTAGAATGCCTGAAAGTTAACTTTCCTAAGTGCTCAACTTTCCTCTGGTAACTCGGTACATATAAATCTGCCCTACAAATACCTTCCTTCATGTATATTACTAATATACTTCTAATCTCAGTTATAATAAATTCTACTTTAATGGGATCTGAATTAATTCTAAGTTAGTGCAATTTAAAAATCTTTGTTATAGGCCAATTTTGATGATCTGTGGAGGAAATTTGTTACATATTCATCTGGGGAGCAACTTTTTGGATTGCCTGTGACTGACTATGAGGGTCTACATAGAATCAGGTAAGTTAGAAAAAAATGCACAAGTATCCCCCATAATTCGTTTCTTTCTATATTGCAGAGACGAACATGGCTTGGGACTCCCCTAAATGTTTCCTTCATTACTGCTGTGCCAGACTTGTTAGACACATTGTTTCCTGTGATGTCAATTTGATGAGATCTAGAGTTGCTTGGGAGAGGGTTCTCAGGGCAAGCCCATGGGGCTTGATTGGGTTAAATGAGGTGGGAAAACCTGCCCACTGTGGGTGGCACCATTCCCACAAAAAGAGAAAGTGAAGTGAACAGTACCGCCATCTAGGGCTTACATAAACTTAGCTTATGATTTACTCTTTCTTTTCATTAATTTATACAGTGTTTACAGTGTTACTGTTTGTGTAGAAGTATTGCAATTTTGAAAAATGTTTATATTCATTTAGATGAATAATGTTTCTCAGCTCCTACCCTTCTGATTGCACTTATGTCAGTGTGCACTTATGTCTGCCTTACTGAGAGCATGAGATTTGCTGAAATTGATGGTCAAAGAACCTGCTTGATTTTATTTATATTTATCTATTTATCTTTCCCATTTTTAGTGTGTGTTGTGCATGTATGCATATTTGTATGTGTGTAGGCACATATGTATGTATGCATATACTCAAGTGTGCATGTGGAGGCCGAAGATGGATGTCAGGAATCATCTTCCATTGCTCTTCCATCTTACTCATTGACACAGTGTCTTTCAATCAAACCCAGAGCTTGTGGTATGACTAGTTTCACTAGGAAACTTGCATTGGGGATCCCCTGTCTCCTGTCTTCCAAGGCTGGAATTACTGAGGGACACCAAACCCACCCAGAATTTTATGCGCTTCTGGGGATCTAGACTCTGATCCTTACGCTTTCCTAATAAGTGCTCTAACTACTGAGAAAGCTGCCTAGCCCCTTGGTTTTAAACAATAGATCTTGGATTTAAATATCGTTAATAGAACCTTATTTATATATCTTTTCTTAAATGCAACATTAAAGTTGGGGGTATAGCTTAGTCGTAGAGCACTTGCCTAGCACACGTTAGGCTCTGGGCTTGATTTCCAGAATTGAAAATAAAAGCAACATTAAAACAGTAATTTGAGAGTCTTGACTTTAGAAAAGAACTTCATGTTGACTTCCATCAGAAGATAAATGAGTGATCTAGTCCTTTAGGGTAGGTGGTTTGTATTCTCTTTCTAAAACAGTACTCTCCAAATAGAACCCATTAACTAACTATGATAGAATTGCAGGTCAGGTACCTGAGCCTCATCCATGGTTTGTTGAATTAGGCTATCTGGGATCTGGTTCTAAGAAATCTCCACTTTGACACAGTCTGTGGGTGATTCTTATGCACATTTGGTATGAGATTCATCATGCTAATTCAAGCATAGCAGGACAGCTAACCCTCTGACTGATAGTTATTTTATTAATTAAAAATTAAAAAAATTATTTATTTTATACGTATGAATGTTTTGCCTGCATGTATACAGTGTACCGGTGTCATGCATTGCCCTCGATGGCCTGAAGAGGGCATCAGATTCCTGGAAGTGGAGTTATAGACAATTGTTAGCTACCATGTGGGCACTGGAAACTGAACCTAGGTCCTCTACAAGAACAGCCAGTGCCCTTAACCACTGAGTCATCACTCCAGCTCCCTTAAAAATTTTCAAAATTACATTTAATTGCGTGTGTGTGTGTGTGTGTGTGTGTGTGCGTGTGTGTACATGTGCCACAGCATGTATGTGGAGGTCAGAGAGCAATTTGTGTGGGTTTGTTTTCTCCTTCCACCATGTGGGACCTCGGGATTGAACTCAGGTTGTTAGGCTTGGCGGCAAGCTCCTTTATTTGCTGAGCCATCTTGCTAGCCCTGTGGTAATCTTTTAAAGTAATTTTATGATTTACAGACATCAGAGTAACTGAATGATGAAAAGCATATATGCATGTATGTAGAGTTCATCCTGAACTCATCCTGAATGACTGAGTTTAGTGAAACTTGTCTATATTACGGCCATCTGAAAGTACATCGTTTGAGAAACTCACACAATCAACTTCACCCTTAACACTGAAGTCTCGAATCTCTGTCTCTTTACTGTTTAAAACTTGGGGAACATATTCCTTTATCAGTTTCATTTCTTTGTTGTTTTAGGAAGAAATTAAACAATCTTGAATTCTTGGCAGTTTAAGTGATATCTATACAAGCAAAAGATTTCAAAAATAGTGTCTTCAGAACTCTGCTTTTGCATTTTGTTAGAACGTAATACCTCACTTGAAGGATGATAAAATAATGGCTCCCCCCAACTAAGGCACCATTCTTTAAGACATTTCATCATTTTCTCTCTTTTTATTATTTATTTATTTTTATTCATTATTTTTATTTTTTATGTGTGTATGCATGTATTGCCTGCATGTATGTAAGTATACCGGTGTCGTGCAATGTCCACAGAGGTCAGAAGAGGCCATCGGATCCCCTGGAGCTGGAGTTAAGGACAGTTCTTAGCTGCCATGTGGGTGTTGGGATTCTAACCTAGGTCTTCTGCAAGAATAGCCAGTGTTCGTAACTGCTGAACCATCTCTGAGCCCCTCTCTTTTTCTTATTTAAGACAGTGAGTAAAAATGAAATAATTCTTAGGATCATGGAAACACAAAATGAGTTAAAAATTTGAAAAATAGCAAACCAGGTGTGATGGCACATGCCTTTAAGCCCAGCACTCAGGAGGCAGAAGTAGGCAGATCTCTGTGAGATAGGGGCCATCCTGTTATACATAGGGAGTTCCAGGCCAGCTGGGGCTACAGGGAGATCTTGTCTCTAAAAAACAAAAAACAAACAAAAAAATAAGATAACTAAGATTGTAGTATGTGTCTTAGGTTTATAAAAGAAACCAGATTTGTCCTCTAAAAATAGTCAAATCATTTGTTAATGTCAAGTTATTGTATGAGTGGGGTACTGTGAAACTTGACTTATGGAAAGAGCCTTAACCAAGTCTTTGTGTTAGAAACCACTGTTGCTGCAAGTATTTTGTATGCATGTAATTTCCAAGAGATATTAACTATATGTATAACTATTTTGTTCCTTAGGAAAGAACTCAACTTGCTTCAGAAGCTATATGGACTGTATGATACTGTCATGGGCAGTATCAGTGGTTACTATGAAGTCCTTTGGAGAGATGTAAATATCGAAAAAATCAATGCAGAACTTCAGGAATTCCAGAACAGGTAAATTTCAGTTGTATAAGACCCACTTTTTACAGTGTTTATCTGCTTAGGCTCCTGTGAGCCTTTTCACAAACTGGGACTGGAGAGATGACTCAGCTGTTAAGAGAACTTGCTGCTATTCTAGAGGAACTGAGTTCACTTCCCAGCACCCACATTTTATGGCTCACAATTGCTTGTAACTGCAGCTCCCGGGGGATCTGGCGCCCTCTTCTGGCCTCCGCAAGTACTATACCCAACATGCACATACCTATATACAGACATAAACATCATTAAAAATAAATCTTAACAAACGATATTTCATAAATGAATTTATTGTTGTTTGTTTATTTTCTCTTTTCTTCCTGGAAGATGTCGAAAAATTCCCAAAGCACTGAAAGACTGGCAAGCTTTTCTGGATCTCAAAAAAAGAATTGACGATTTCAGTGAGTCGTGTCCTCTACTAGAAATGATGACTAATAAAGCCATGAAGCTGAGTCACTGGGATCAGATCTCTGAGCTGACTGGGACCCCATTCGATGTGGAATCTGATTCTTTCTGTCTGAGAAACATTATGGAGGCACCACTCCTTAAAAATAAGGATGACATTGAGGTTGGTGAAAGTATTTAATGTACTATAACACACACACACACACACACACATGCACACACACGTGTAAAATAAGGCCTATAGAGTCTAATTTGTGTCCCCAAATGTCCTTCGGTGTGGGTCCATCCACTGGAGCATGGTCAGCCTACCAAGAGTCACATTCTTGAAAAGTACTGTCTCTCCCACTCACAGCAGCTGTCAGTTGCCAAAATGTCCTTAGGTTGAACTGAGGTTTCTTACCTTCCTCACGCTGGGATTTTTGTCTGGTTTGAGCTTGCATGGAACTTGTGCATGCTGTCACTATTGCCGTGAGTCCATATGAGTAACTGATCAGCTGTCTGGAAAATTTTGTTTCTTTGTGATCATTCACCACCTCTGGCTCTTACAGTCTTTCCACCTCCTCTTCCATAATGATTCCTGAGCCTTGGGAGGTAGGAGTTTGGTATAGGTCTAGTATTCAGGGATAAGCACTCTTGAAGGCTCTTGTTCTCTGTGCACTGGCCAGTTGTGGGTTTCTGTGTCAATCACTGTCTGCTGTATATGGAAACTCTCTGGTGAGAGTTAAGATGCATTAATTTATAGGTATAACAGTAAGTCATTAGCAACTATTTAGTAGAAAACTAGCATTAGGCTCTCCCCTGTGTCCTGTGACCTGTCTAGCCTCAGGTTCCTAAACCTGATATCCATGTCAGCCATGGGCTCCATCCCATGAATCAGACCTTAAATCCAATTAGAGAGTGGTTAGTTACTCCCATAATATTCATGCCACTTTTGCACCAGTGGGCGTATCTTACTAGGCCAATCGTAGTTCACAAGATTCATAGCTGGGTAAGGTTGATGATTGTTTTTCCTTCCGGTAGCATGCATAGCACCTTCCAGCACTGTGGACACTAGCCAGTAGAGGTGAGACTCCGGAGTCAGCACCAGCTTGATTTCTCCTTGTTGTTCTACAGCCCACATATGTAGTGTCTTCAGCAATAGGTCTTCAGACATTTTATTTTAATTTTATTTTTTCTTTTAGTCAGCATATCATAATTGCACATATTAATGAGATATGGTGCAAGGATTCAGTGCATGTATGGGCCGTAGCATGGCTATCTCTTTACTTCTTTCTGTTTGTAGTCTTTGAGTTTCTCTTTTCTGATTTCCTAAAACACAGAATGATCCTGGGAAGAACGGTCACCCTGCTCTGCTGTTTGGCACTGAGCTCCTTCCCACTACCTATCTGAGTTCCATGTCTGACCCCTGCCCTTCCTGCCTGTAATAATCATGCTCCATTCACTTCTGCTTTGATGTTTACCTTTTTAGCTTCAACATATGAGAGTGACTTTGCTGTATTTCTCTTCTTGTGTTTGACTTATAGAGATAATTAATTTTGAAGATTTTTTAATTTATGTACATGTATGTGTATGTGTGTGTGTGTGTGTGTGTGTGTGTGTGTGTGTTTGTATGATGTAGGTGCTCATGGAGGCCAGAACAGGGTGTCAGGCCCCCTGGAACTGGAAGTTTAAGTGGTTGCAAGTCACCTGATGTGGGTGCTGGGAACGAAACTTGGGTCCTCCGAAAGAGCAGCAAGCACTGTTAATGGATGAACCATCTCTCCAGCTCCTGTGACCCTTGTAATTATTCCCTTTTTTCTTTTGGTCTTTTTGAGACAGGGTCTCTTTGTAGCCCCAGCTGACCTGGAACTCACTGTGTAAACCAGGCTGGACTCAATCTCACAGAGATCCGCCTGCCTCTGCTTCTCAGGTGCTGGGATCGAAAGTGTGTGCCACCACACCCAGTGACTTTTTTAATTCTTAAGAGTTACTTTGACATCTGTAGTTCTTGAAAAAAGAGGTTTTGAACTTTTATCTAGTCTTTCTATATAGCTTTCATAAAGTGTGTTTCTTGAGGGTAGTTGACAATAAAGTGAGCATGAGGATGTCCTGTTCGCACAAACCCTACTGCAAGTGTTAGGAAGTGCTTGTGGAAGTGATGCGGAGTTGGTCATATTGGGTTAGGGCATATGCTCAAACCCTTAAGAATAGGATAGTGATGAGTTTTAATAAAAAAATTAATCACACAGATTTATGATGCACATGGGTTCTGAAGAGATCCAAGGAAAATGATGGTGGATAGAAATTTATTAGGTATGTACTGATGCTGATATACTCAAGAAGATAAAAAGATTATTTGAAATATATTCATTTTGGAACTTGTCAATCTAGCCTTCTGTACTTTGGTTGAGCTCACGTTAAAAAAAAGTGTCAAAAAGACCAAAAAAAAAAAGTCTGTTTACAGTATTTGTGTATTGTGTTTTTGGTGAATTCCTCAGGATTTTCTCCAAGTTTCTAAATTCTATGCCTTTTATTAAGTTTATTGAGCAGACACATTTTTAATAGTATTGTAATTTTCCTTTCCCACCTTAAAAATCTTTTAAAACATTTATTATTTTTTTCTATGTGTGTGTACGCACACATGCACATGCACGCCTTGTCACGCATGTGGAAGTCAGAGGCTAACTTGTAGGAGTCAGTTCACTCCTTCCACTGTGTGGATTCCAGAGGATTGAGCTCAGATTGTCAGGCTTGGAGACAAGCACCTTTACCTGCTGGGCCATCCTGCCAGTCCTCCTTTCCCAGATTTTTAGTTCCTTCTTCTGGCTACCTGTCCTTTTTAAAATTTCTTATCTTTTTTTTAATTGCTTCTTGGACATAATAGTTCCTAAGTTTCTCTCACTATGTTCTCAATTCTTTCGTATAGTGTTATTTATGGTGGAATATTCCAAACCGAGTACTAGCAGGCACACTGTTCATTTCTCTCCACTCCTGAGTATGGGTGTGATATGACTAACTTGTCTAAGCGCCTGCCACCTTGCTTTGCTTCCCTGCAGTGATGGACCGGAACTGGAACTGTGAGCCAAGTAACTAACCTCCTTCGCCCATAGTTTGCTTTTGATGGAGAGTATTTTATCCCAGCAACGGGAAACAAAACTAAAACTCACATGTGCATCAGAGAGCAGCAATGCCTACTTACCCTTAGATTCATTTTCTGTTTTTTTTTTTTAATTTTCTCTCCTTCCCTTGTTCTACAATATAGTGGGACTAAGCCCACTGCTTCATTTCACCAATCAGATTGAGGAGTGGGTAGGAGGAGAAATCCAGGGTATTACATTCTTATACGTAAACACTACTTAAGAGAACAAGTTATTTTTTAACCAGATTTTTATTTATTGGGGGGGGTGTGCATGTGCCATAGTGCACCTGTGGAGGTCAGAGGACAACATGCAGGAGTTGGTTTTCTCCTCCCACCATGTGGATACTAGGGATCAAATGCAGGTTGTCAGATTGGCAGCAAGTGCCTTTACCCATTGAGTCATCTCTCTGGCCCCCAAAGCTCTTAACTCTTTGTTTTGTTTTTATTTTTTACTAATATTTTAGTGACAGTCATATAGGGACAAACATGCTTTAAAATCAAAACTTCTGATGTACATATGTGTGTAAGTGCACCTGTGTCATGCAGTGCTAGTGGAGGTCAGAAGATGCTGTTGGATCCCCTTTAACTGGAGTTATAGATGGTTGTTAGCTGCCATCTAGGTGCTGGGATTCAAACCCAGGTCCTCTGCAAGAGCAGCCAGTGCTCTTAACCACTGAGCCGTCTCTCCAGCGCCCCCACATGCGGTAATTTTATGGTACACTGAGTTTACAGTTGAAAATGTCATGATGTATTAATTCTCTGGTCTCCCTCTGAAGGACATCTGCATCTCTGCTATTAAGGAAAAGGATATTGAAGCCAAGCTGACTCAGGTGATTGAGAACTGGACCCACCAAAACTTGAGTTTTTCGATGTTTAAAGGGAAAGGAGAGCTCCTCCTCAAAGGGACTGAATCTGGAGAAATTATCTCCTTGATGGAGGATAGCCTGATGGTCTTAGGTTCCTTGCTAAGCAACAGGTAATTTTATAATTCATGGGAAAGATTTTAATCTATTTAGGGTCATAGAGGACAGGGTAAAAACCCAGTTTTGTGGCTGGGGCATTAAATAAGAGTCTACTCTACCCCACACATTTTGTCTGTGCCTATGCAAAGGGTCTGTTTTCCATAAGACTCATGACCACTCCATCTCTCCTTCAAAAGTGCATATCTCACCTGTTTTTCTAGGGGAGAGTCCAACATCCTTGACAGCACCCAAATCAGCAGCGTATCCTCTGAACATTGTGATTGGTCCTCGCTGAAATGACCTCTTCTTTTGTGTCCTCTGATATGTCATTGTTGTCTTTGGCTAATCTTACTCAAGCAGTCCACCCAGTGACAGAGGGAAAAGCAAGCTGACCACTCACCATTAAGGATTTGGCACTTACAATCATTTTTTATTATATAAAAATGCAAGTATATATCTGTGGATCCACTGTAGTCCCATTTAGGTAATCCATCATTGGAGCTCCAAGGTGCATGTGATCTCCAGCCTACGTAGACTTAGGAAATGTGGGTGGGATTCAGATTAATATTTTTCCAGGTCTTTGGTCTGAGTATTTGTACTTTTAATCCTGCTGGCTGACTGCTCCTTCTCTTCCTTCGCTTCCTCTTCTCCTTTTAATTTATGTATATATGTTTGTGTTGGTGTGTATGAGTGTCCTCGGGCCAGAAGAGGGTGTTGGATCCCTTGGAACTGGAATTACAGGTGGTTGTGAGCTGCCCAATGTGGGTTCCTAGAACCAAACTCACGTTCTCTAGAAGAGCAGCAAATACTCTTAACTGCTGAGCCATCTCTCTTGTCTCAGTAGTTCTTGACTATTCTGTACCCTTACATGCCTAGAAAACATATCACAACTTCATCATCAATAGAGATCAATGTCCAGGAAACACTGAATTCTACTCTCCAGGCTAGGATCCATGGCCAGTGACTGGTATCCCTCATGGCTTCTGGTCACTGCCCTGTATTTGGATATGTATAATGTCTAAAGCACTCCCAGTCCAGGGAATTAAGGGTTGACTTTTCTGAGGTCAAGATCCCTTGTTTATAGGGAATCTTAAGATAACTGTGAGACTTTAACCATGGCTCCTAAACTCATGGGCTGGTGATTCAAATGGATCATTGGAGATTTTGCCAACCCAGCTTCCTGGATGACAGCCTCTGAACAGGGCGGCTGCAGATTGTTGACCTGAAGAGTGACCACAAGTCAAAGGATTTCGGACATGAGTCTTGAATTTTATACTTTTTTGGACACCACTACTCACGGCACCATCAGAATCAGTGTTAAAGCCCTGCTTAGAAAGAGTACAAGGGTATTAGAGAAGTTAACTTGTTCTGGAAGACTGCCTAGAACTGTGAAGCAACAAGTGTGCCTGGAAATCCTACCCGAGAACCAGCTGTAGACCAACCTCACAGCAGGCGGAGCCCTCCTGGATGACCCTGATGTAACTTCAGAAAGAAGGTGCATGTCTCTGTGGCTGTGATTTGGCTCTAGACATTAGCTTGGTCCTAGCACTCCCCCGGTGGTACTCTGATTCCAAGCTATCCACGGGACTTCCTGTTAGTCCTGGTGGATTCTTACAGTACAGTAGAAGGTGGGATCTGGCCGTGGCACAAAAAGTAGTTATGTTGGGTTTTATTTCAGATCAAAAATGACTCTGCAGGTCATTTTATTCTTCATGTTCTGATTTTGAAGATGTTTACTGCCTTTGAGCTCTAGACCAGAGGGTCTGTATGCATTCAGGTGTTAGGAAAAATGCCTCTTGTCTTCTGAACACGTGGATCATCTACCTCCTTGGAGTTATTTTTGTATAGCTCCTTTCTAGCTCCACAGATAACATGGGCTTCTAAGGAGGCCAGGACTTGCATTGAGTGTCAGTTTGGACCCCAGATAAACCTTATTATATAAGTGAACACCTTCAGGTCACTTTGTCTTGGATCAATAAAAGTTTTGAGACCCTTTTCAGTAGGTGTTGGTCCCAGAAGAAGTATCAGGTCTCCAAATCAAAGCTACATTCTAGGGACTGGAGAGATGGCTCAGGGGTTAAGAGCACTGGCTGCTCTAGCAGAGGACGTGGGTTAGGTTCCCAGCATCCACATGGTGGCTGGTGGCTAACAACCATCTGTAACTCCAATTCCAGGGACTCCAATGTCCTCTTCTATCCTCAGTGGGCACTGTATGTATATGATTGCATTACATACATGCAGGCCAAACACTCATACACATAAAATAACATTTATAAATCTTTAGAAAAGATTTGTTCTGCCACAATCTGAATGAAGGAAGGCTGCTTCCGACTGTAGGTGACTGAGATCTCTTCCAGCGTGGCTGACTTTTCATTTCTACAGCGTCCGTTCTGTTCCTGCCTTTCTCTATTGTGCTCAGCTTTGCTGACTTGTATTCCCAGGAACAGTTTGGTTAGCCCTGATGATCAGAAAACAGGAGTTGTGCTGTTTTCGTGGCCCTCCTGGACCTCTGGCACTGTGGAATCTATTGCAGTATCTGGTGGAATTTGTAGCCTGAGGGTGGGAAGGGCAAACCTGTAAGTGGGTGTCTAACCTCAATCTTGACTGGTATTTTGCAGCAATCTTTTTCCAGATGAACCTGATAATATCTAACTCTCTTTTGATTTGGGGGGGGGGATCAGATTTGTTTTGTCCCTTTAAAGGTGGTCTATGAAAGGCTAGAGGTTAAGGTCTATGTAGAACTCAGTAGTTAAAATGGTTGCTCTTGCAGAGGACCCAGGTTTAATTCCCAGCATCCACATGGCGACTACCTACCATCTATAACTCCAGTTCCCAGGGACTCAGCGTCCCCTTCTGGCCTTCATGGGCACTGCATGCATGTAATAAACTCACATGCACACAGGCAAAAACATCCTATGTTTAAAATAAAAATAAAGAAATAAAAAGATGGTTTATGTCTTGGAGAATCCTTCAAGACAGGAAAATCCCTGGATAATGGCCTCTTGTCCTAGATTTAGTAATTCCAGAGGCAAGTGGCAAACAGGGTCTTTTATAGGCATCACTCCCATAGGCAGCCTCCATTTGGATTTGGTTCACAGGAGTCTAGGAGAAGCAGTTTATTCCTTGATACTCTCTCACTCTCTGAAGAAACCATCATAATACCTTGGCTGGATCTCTATGCCACAAAACACATCCCATTTTCTTATTCTTTGACTGACACATGGGAGCAAGAAACCAAAAGACTTTAATTATTAGGTGAATTTTATTCATAAAAAGCAAACATTTCATTAACTGTATTGTATTTGCTAGGGGTTACCCTTTTTAGGAGCAAAGAATGTTCTTCCTGTAGTTGACTTTGTGAGACCATGCTATTTGCAAATCTTCCTTGCAACATAATGTTTTCTGTTCTTCTTTTTAAGATATAATGCTCCGTTTAAAAAAAATATCCAGAAGTGGGTGTATAAATTGTCTACTTCCTCGGATATAATCGAGGAGTGGCTGGTCGTGCAGAATTTGTGGGTCTGTCTTGAAGCTGTCTTTGTGGGTGGAGATATTGCCAAACAGCTGCCTCAGGTAAACATGAGTTTTGCATTTATTTATAAAAGTGTTTGGTGAGCTGGGAGTAGGTCTGTAATCCCAGCAGGTCTGCATCCCAGGTTAACAGGCAGGGAGATTGTAAGTTTAGGGCCTTCCTGGGCTACAAAGTAAGTTCAAAGTCAACCTGGGAAACTCTGTGAGACCCCCCTCACCTCAAAATCAAAAGTAAAAAGAGAGCTGGGAATATTGCTCAGTGGCACATCTGCTTGCTTAGCTTGCACAAAGCCCTAGATTCAATGCTCATTATTATTTTTAAAATTGTTTGGTATTATCCATGTCTTGTGAAAATTATCCCAAAGACATATAAGGTCAAGCCTTAAAAAACTATTCTTGGGGCTGGAGAGATGGCTCAGTGGTTAAGAACACTGGCTGTTCTTGCAGAAGGCCTGGGTTCAAATCCCAGCACCCACATGCAGCTAACAACTGTCCTTAACTCCAGTTCCAGGGGATCCGACAGCCTCTTCTGTTTTCCGTGAGTATTGCACAACATGGGTGCACTTACACACATGCAGGCAATACATGCATACACATAAAATAAAAATAATAAAGAAAGTATTTTTAAAAAACCAAACTATTCTTACGTTTTGTTTTGTGTGCCTGTGTGTATATGTGACTGTATATACAAACGTACGCACATGCCGCCACACATGTGGAGGTCAGAGGACAACCTGTGGCAGTCAGACTGCACCATGTCAGTCCTAGGAATTGAACTCAAATCATTCTGCTTTGTGACAGGAGTCTTTACCCACTGATCCATCTCTCTGGCCCATATGATCAAGTTTTGATAAATCATGCCAGGGACTGGCAAACTCTGGCCTACTTACCTGTTTAAAAATAAAGTTTTATTGGAACATACATACACAGACTCATGCACAGAAGTTATTGATCTCTGATTTACATTAGCAGAAAGAAGAAACTCCATAGTTTCAAAAATCTTGAGCTTGCTCAAGTTGATGTACATTCAAATTCAGTATTGCTGAGTTACTGTTCATGCATCTCTTCAAGAGATAACCTTGTAATAATCCTCTGAAAATAGTATCAAAATTAACCTACATTCTGTGACACATATTAAATATTATAATCAGGAATATAATGTGGGGCAAAGAAACAGCCTTGGAAGTCTGTATTGAAACTTTTAAAATAACTTTATTGCAGCCTTTTAAGTAGACATCATTAGGCTAGGGATGTGGCTCGGTTGCAGAGTGTTTGCATAGCATGCATGAAGCCTTGGTTCTATTCCCAACATGACATAAACCATGCCTGTCGGTGCACTCCTGTGATCCCACCGCTTCTGAGATGAAGGCAGGAAGATAGATTCAAGCGTGGTCAAAGCCAGGCTTGGCTACATGAGCGGATGTCACATATAGACACACAAACACACACATGCATACACACATGCAATTTTTATAAAACTTTCCTCTTATACAATTAAATTTGTTCTTCCTAAATCTCTCTGTTTACAGACAAGATCTATGTAGATTATAAATTTGGAATAAAAGGCATGAAAATGGCTCATTTCTCTTTGCACATTTTTTAGAATCTAAAACTAAAGTATGGTTTTAATTAGAAAATTGCACACACACATGCATACACACATGCAATTTTTATAAAACTTTCCTCTTATACAATTAAATTTGTTCTTCCTAAATCTCTCTGTTTACAGACAAGATCTATGTAGATTATAAATTTGGAATAAAAGGCATGAAAATGGCTCATTTCTCTTTGCACATTTTTTAGAATCTAAAACTAAAGTATGGTTTTAATTAGAAAATTGCATTTTTAAAAGAGGCAAAATTATGCCAATTTCCAGAGGCGTTTTTGCAATTGAATGCAAAACTTAATATCATCCACAGCACATAGAAAGTTTTTATTTGCAAATATGTAAATGGAGCTTTGTTTGCGATTTCAGTGGTTTTTCCTATTTTTTCCCCTTTTTCTTGTTCCCCAAGGCACTGTGAAGCTGTAATTATTCCGAGGACCCTGGGATCAAATTATTTTCTTGCTTCTTCACTTTGCTCATCAAACCCAAACACCTGGGGTGCTGAAAGACTAGATTTGAACTTTTAGTTGATAGCTCTGCAAATTAATCGTGTGGCACTTCAAAAATATATTCAACGCAAGGAAACAAATAAGCGATAAACCCCATTGTGATGGAGCAGTATTTTAATAAGTGGCTTTATAAGTTTGGGGGTTTTGTGCTTCAGAATTAATTCAGATGAAGAAAAAAATTTGTTTAAATTGTGTAGCCTGAGATTAACAGAGGCTAGATGCTAATCTTTACCCGACTATAAATTTGTTTTTAGGAAGCCAAACGTTTTCAGAATATTGACAAGTCGTGGATAAAAATAATGCAGCGAGCTCACGAGAATCCCAACGTGATTAGCTGTTGTGTGGGGGATGAAACTATGGGGCAACTTCTGCCTCATTTACACGAACAGTTGGAAGTGTGCCAGAAATCTCTCACAGGGTAAGAGCTGAGTGAAAGACCTGACCTGTCTCTTCATGCATCATTTTTTTGTTGTTTTTTTAAAGATTTTATTATTTTTATTTTATCTGTATTGGTGTTTTGCTTGTATGTGTATAAGTGCACCTGCGTCATGCAATGTCCTCGGAGGTGAGACGAGAGCATCAGATCCCTTGGGACTGGAGTTACAGATGGTTGTTAGCCACCATGTGGGTGCTGGGAACCGAACCTGGGCTCTCTGCAAGAGCAGCCAGTGCTCTTAACCACTGAGCCGTCTCTCCAGCCCCTGTGCATCATGTTTTATCTCAAACCAGTTACTAGTACTGACTTCACTTCAGACTTTTACAGAAATGGTTAGAATGGGAACAGGAATTTTAAATTCCCACACAGTCAGTTGAGCCCTGTATCCAATGATGAGTGTCCTCACAGGAGAAACAGAAGAAGTGGAGAAGGGTAGGTGAGGACAAATGCACATCAGAGTTACAAGCAGAAGCCATAGAACACCCAGAGCCACTGTAGCTCCCTCACAAGCTCCAGAGGGACCCAGCACCTTCATTTCCTGGTTCTTGACTCCAGAACTGTGAGAATATAAATGTCTGTTGCTGTAAGTCATCTAAGTTTGTGGTAGTTTGGCATAGCCACCTTAGGAAGCTAATGCAATTCTTAAACTCATCCACCCCGTATCAAAGGTGTCTTTCTTAAAGAAAAACTGAATGTATAGGAATTTAAAAAATATTTTATTATTTTAATTT